TAGATGAAAGGCAAGTGTGGTTGACCGTCACGCTGGGGTTTGCTTGCCGTGTTTTCCTTACTTTCTCCGAAGGCAGTTATCTGGTCAGATGGCAGGGGTGGCAGACTGACCTGCTGTTTGGGGCCAGGCTGAGTGGACTGCGCTGCAGTGGGGCTCTGGCAAGTGGAAGTTCTCAATGTCCCATTCAGGCTACCGTGTTCCAGTGAATTCTTATCATGTGATGATGATGTCTCAGCATTGCCAGAATGCCTAGTTTTTAGACAGCCTGGAAATTTGAATTTTAAATACTGACTCCTGCAAAACAAAATGGCGAGCCAGGTAGAGGCCCCCACTTGGTGATTTGTGCCCCTGTGGTGACTGGCGTGGAGAAGAAGGCGGCTGTCAGGGTCCCAGAGCCTGTGTTTCCAGGGTGCGTGTCTGCAGCGGTGACTGTTTTGTTGTGGGACTTCACCCCTGCTGAGGGCGTTTCCTGATTTGGAAATTAGTTTTCATTTTTCTTTCTCTCCTCATCCTCTTTCTTTTTGTATCTTTCATTTATTATTCTTTAAAGCTACAGAGCTTATATTGGTTTGGAAGTGTGAGATGATTGTCGAGGGCAGGTAGGGAGTGAAGATAGCAGCAAATACTGATGCAGTACTGATGTCATAAGCAGCCATATAATCAAATGTCCAGGTAGTGAATATCCAAAGATCTATGCAAGCAGACGTCACTGTCTTCCGCTCAGGTGACCTGGGGGTGTCTAGGGGAGGGCTCAAGATACTTCCTGTAATTACAGTGGGGGCTGTGATGTTTAATTTTTTAAAAATATTTTAATTGTTTAAAAAATTTTAAAGATTTAAAATATTTGTGGGTGATTGCTTTCTTTTTAAAAAATTATTAAATTTGTTGAGGTGACATTGGTTAATAGAATTATGCAGGTTTGAATTGTTCAATTCTATGATACGTCATTGGTGTGTTGCGTTGGACGCCCCCCACCCACGGTCCAGTCTCCTTCCAGCACCATGTACGTGACTCCCTTTACCACCCTCCCAGCTCCCTCCCCCGCTGGTGACCACCATCCTGTTTTTTGTCTTATTTGTATGTTTTTGTCTTATTTGTTCATTTGTTGCTTTCAGTTTTATATCCCACACATAAGTGAAATCATATTATTGCCCAATAGTGAAGCAGGCTTATTGTCTGATTCCGCTCCCTAGTTTATTTTGCTTAATGTCTGATTCCCTTTGCTTCTTTCCTTTATTAAAACTAACTAGTTAGCCATGCCAACAATATGGCTGTGGACCTTTTCTGTCTGACTTATATCACTTAGCATGATATTCTCCACATCCATCCATGTTGTTGCAAATGGCAGTATTTCTTCTTAGGGCTGATTAGTATTCCATAGTATATATGCACCTCATCTTTTTGTATCCAATCACTTGTGGAAGGAAACTGGTTGTTTCTGTGTCTTGGCCACTGTAAGTAATGCTGCAGTGAACATAGGGGTGCATATATCTTTACAAATAACTGTTTTCAATTTTTCTGATAGCTGCCCAGAAAAAGGGTTGCTGGGTCATATGGTAATTCTATTATTGCTTTTTTGAGGAACATCCATATTATTTTTCATGGTGGTTACACCAACTTACATTCCCATTAACAGTGAATGAAGGTTCCTTTTTCCCTACAACCTTTCCAACACTTGTTATTACTTGTCATGTTTATAATAGTCATTCTAACGAGTGGAGTGGTATTGCATTGTAGTTTTGATTTGCATTGTTAAAGTGTCTGTTCAGGTCCTCTGCCCATTTTTTCACTGGATTGTTTATTTTTTTTGTTGTTCACTTGTATGGGTTCTTTATATATTTCGGTTATTAACTCCTTATTGGAGGTGTTGATTTCAAATATCTCCTCCCATTCTGTTGGTTACCTTTTTGTTTTGTTCAAGGTTTCTCTTTCTGTGTAGAAGCTTTTTAGTTTGATACAGTCCCACTCTTTAGTTTTTGCTTTTTTTCCCCTACCTTTGAGGTCAAATTCATAAAATCTTCTCTAAGACCAAGGTACACAAATTTAGTACCCATGTTTTCTTCTATGCAACTTATTGTTTTAGGTCTTATATTTGCACCTTTGATCCATTTTGAGTTAATTTTTGTGCATGGTGACAAAGAACAGTCTTGATTCATTCTTTCATGTGTGGCTTTCCAGTTTTTCCAGCACCATTTATTGAAGAGGCTTTCTTTTCCCTGTTGTATGTTTTTGGCTCCTTTGTTGAAAATTATTTCCCTATAAATATTTAAGCTTTACTGGGGGCTTACCTAAGACATATGTTAAGCGATACAAATAATTAGTTTTACAGTCAGATCCTTGTTTTCCAGAGGAGGGAGCATGAATCGTTAAAATCAACCTATAATTTGAGAGCTTTCTTTTAGATATTAGTTTCAACTTCTGATCCCAGCTAACCTTTTTATTCTCTTTTTTCTCACTTCGCTCTCTCTCTCAACAGAGTTGCTAATAAGGAGTAAAACTGACTGGTTAGAATTGTACCTTTTCTTGTATTTCACCTGTTAATAAAGAGTGAAGGAGGCAAAAGTGAAAAAGAGGGGAAAGACATCAAAAAGACATTGATAATATGTCTCAAAACTGCATTGACTATATTTCATTAAGGAAATAACCAAAGAGAGACCTTTTGTCTTAGAATTACATTTACTTTTTTGGCATTAGTAAGAATTGAATCTTAATATGCAATCAGTGATTATTAATGGGTAAGATATTGCTGAAGTGGTATTCAGAACATCTTTTATGGGAATATTCATGGTGATTTGCTATAATTTTTAGGTCATATAATAATTCTTAAAAAATTGTTAGGGAAAAGAAGATTGTCAGCTGGTCAACTCCTTTAGTCTGTTTTTATGTTCATTTATATGATGTTTCATTCTACATTTTGTATTTTATAACTTTACATTAATTCTTTTTGATTGTACCCTTGGATTTTTTTTTTTCAAAAGTTGTCAGAATGAGGAAAGCCCATGATTTTCATCATGGAGTGATTTTATTATTTTAAAGGCCATAAGATCAAGCAATTAACCTATTATTTATCTCTTACCCCTCACCTTCCCCCATTTGTAGCTAAGCTTTAGTGAAACATAAGTTGAGTGCAAAAAGAATTATTTCAGAGGGAACAAAGTAGGGGTATGTTTCGCATATTCTAAAAGCAGGGAAATAAATGAAGAGAAGTGGTGTATATGCTTTTGAAAGAAAGCGTGCAGGGAAAGGGCACTGAAAAACTCTGTTACTGCATATGAATTAGCCTATTGAAAACTCTGCCCCTCAAACAAAATGTACTCTTATAACTAGGACTTAAAAATTTTTTTTTTCTGTAGAGTCATCTGATGTCAGCTACTTGGATGTTTCAAAAAATTTAACCTTTTGTGTTTTTTTTTCTCATTGGTTTAGTTTTGGTTATGGTATGAATTTTAGCCAACTTTGGTTGATGATTCTTCCAAATGTTTTAGTTTATATGAGTCCGACAGAAAATCTAAATGCAAATATGTCCCTTTTTCTCCCTCCACTCCATTTACTCACTGTAGTATAAGTTAAATTTGATTTAATAAAATCCAGGGCAAATAATTTTTGTTTGAAAGTTAGGTAGATTATCTGGCAGGATTCAGGGAATTAGAATGGGTACCTGGAGAGTTTCTGCAGCACTACGATTTGGTCCCAGATGAGGTATTTGAGTGAAGTGGTTGGTGGTACGTTATTTCATCTTCTACACTGGTAGGGTAGGAAACTGATGTCCCTGACACTCGGTTGGTTGCACTTTAACATCAGACAGATCAAAAAGTCATTATTAGCAAAGACTCAGCAAGCCTGTTAGCATGAGCCTGGGCGCAGAGAAGCCAAACTGGTGTGAAATAGGAGAGAAACCCTGCTGTTAGACATGACTTTTATTACATTATATTTAACCCCACCACAGTCCCAATTGAGACACTACCATTTTAATTAAAGACACTTAATATCTTTACTTTGATAAAGACATTAATTGGCTTTAACACATACTACATATGCAGTGCTCATTATTTTTCTTTGTGATGTGTGATTAAATGGTATTAAACTTAATATTGATATTAAATTTACCAAAAGACTTAACAATTCTAGTTACCTTATATATCTTTATTGATGATTATTATGAACTAAAATGGGTATAGTATCTAGCCAGATTGCTTTAAATAAGCAGCTGCTAAATATTTATTGAAATTATTGTCTTTCATTATTTTGTATAAGCCATATTGTTCATTTTGACATAGCATTGAATAACCTCAAATACTTCAAAGCTGAGTAGATTCAGCTAAGTCAATTGTGAAATAGCAAAATACAAGGTAGGCTTCCAAGTGCTAAGAATAGATGAAAAATCAAAGATTTGCTTTCATTTCATTTTCACGTTATCTTTTTGTGTTTTTATTTCTGTAGAACTAGCAGTGAAACAATCTAAAAAATTTTAGTGTATGTTGTATTTTTGTTTTCTCCTGCTTGCTCCAAATTTATGTCCTTACTACTTCTGTGTAATGAGAGACTATTGTGTTTGTTGTAATTCCCCCCAATACAAGGAAAGTTCATGAGGCTAAATGAGATTTATTCATTGTTATTTTTTTTTATTCAAGGCAGAAAAAAAATTTAAAAGAAGTTTTGGGGAGTGAAAGAATATTATCATCTGAAATTTGAGTAAGCTCTCCCTTTCTTCCTTTATTCTAGCTCTAATTTTAAACAAAACTAGACAGTCATGGGACTAGTTTTTATTTGTATCTTCTTGAGTAATTATATACTTTGTGCTTATCTTTTTTTATACATGATAGAGTGTTTATTTAGGCAACATAAAAATATGACTTACAGCAAGTTGAAAACAAAATCATCTTGCAAGCCAACTGGCAGGACTTAATGCTGTTTTAGAGCAGGTCTTATTTGGGTACCATTGGGTTGGCACTTTCCCACCTGTATCTCCGTTGTGCTCAGCATAGCATGTTTTTTTGAGCATGTGTCATTGTAGTCCTGCAGTGACGGTGGATATTATGAAAAGGGTGGATATTATGATAAGGAAAAATGTGAAAATACAGCCGTTGATGGTGAGATGGATATGCAATGGAGCATGACCATTTTCCTTCTAAGGAGGGACACGTGCTGGTATGGATCAGTCTCTAAAATCAGAGGACAAAACTGTCTGTAGGAATCAGGAAGGCCATGGTCAAAGGCTGGTTAAGTAATGTAGGCTTACACTGATGTTGGCATGAACCAGGAGCACCAGAAGTAGAAAATAAAATGGGTACCTGGGAGAGAAGTTAAAGCAAGTTGTTGAAACTTCTTAGTCGACTGGATATGGAGGATGAAGGCAGGTGATCAAAACGGATGTCATGAGCCACACTTTAGGCTCATGGGTAAATCTGTGCTTGTGTTTATGTCTTAGTTTTTGCCCTGATGGTTTTAAAAACTATTGAGACCATCTTTCCATCTAAGGAAGGCAGTTTCTCATTTTGTTAGTGTCTTCAATACGTACTTGATAGAACTGCTTTGGAAAATAGGTTTAGTAGAAATAGTGTAGGCCTTGCAGGTGCTGTTGCTGCCTCAGATCTTCCCACACCCAGCCTTGGTCAACCCCACCGTGTTCTTCAACATCACTGCCCATGGCGAGCCCTTGGGCCACGTCTCCTCTGAGCTGTTTGCAGACAGAGTTCCAAAGACAGCAGAAAACTTTCATGCTCTGAGCACAGTGGAGAGAGGATTTGGTTATAAAGGTTTCTGCTTTCACAGAATGATTCCAGGATTGATGTGCCAGGGTGGTGACTTCACACACCACAATGGCGGCAAGTCCATTTATGGGGAGAAATTTAATGATGAGAATACCATTCTGAAGCGTATGAGTCCTGGCATTTTGTCCATGGCAAATGCTGGACCCAACACAGATGGTTCCCAGTTTCCCATCTGTACTGCCAAGACTCAGTGGCTGGACGGCAAGCATGTGGAGTTCGGCCAGGAGAAAGACGGCATGGGTGTTGTGGCAGCCATGGAGCGCTGTGGGTCCAGCAATGGCAAGACCAGCAAGAAGGTCACCATGGTTGACTGCGGACAACTCTCATAATTTTGACTTGTGCTTTATTTCAACCACCAGACCATTTCCGCTGTAGCTCAGGAGAGCACCCCTCCACCCCCATCTGCATGGAATGTTCCATAGTCTTCATGCTCTTGCTGCAGTTCATTGGGTTCCATATTTTCCTTACCCCTTCCAAGTCTAGCTGGATTGCAGAGTTAAGTTTATGATTATGAAATAAAAACTAAACCGCGACAACAGCAAAAGAAATAGTGTAAAATATATTGGTATAAATAGTACCTATGGAAAGTCAGTGGAAAGAGAAATAGTATATAATTACTAAAGTGTTATGTCGTCTTTGAAGAAAGAAAAGTCTCATACCATGAGCAACGCAGAGGTCCTTTTTCTCCTACCACCCCTCACATTGATTCATGGGTCCATTATAATGGGCGGAAGCAAACACTGCACTAGAACACGCTTATTTCCGTAGAAGTCAAGGATGGATAGCTGAAGTCTTGGCAGGCGGGTACCCTGCTCTCAGTTCCCAAGGGAGTATCTTTAGAAATTGCCTGTATGAAAACATGTTTTTGTAAGTGAATTGTAACTACCCTGTCCTCCCCCAAATGTTATCAGGATGCTTAGGTGTGAGAAGAACCACTTTAAAACCAATTGTTGACATGGATTTTTAGTGACACCTGCTAGAGCTATTGATGTTTCTTGTAGACAGACATATCTCATCAGTTTGACACAGAAGTATAATCGGTCCAAGTAACCAGGCATGACCTTATCTTTGTTTTAAGCTTAGTAATCTTCTTCCAAGTCTTATCATTTTTTTTTCCATGACACCTCATAGGCGGGCTTTGGGTAATAACTTTCTGAGGGCCAAGGCCTCTTGCAATGTTATGATTCCTTGACACGGAATAACTGTGTTGTGAAGTGAAGTTTAAGACCGGGTTTGAATCAGTGACAGCACATGTAGACAGATTATTTCTTAACTCAATTTTACAATGTTCAGATCAATGGGTTGGAAAAGGCAGTCAGAAATTTCAGAGCTGCAATTGAGTTGTGGTGTGCCCCCATACATCATGCAAGCTACCTCCCCTGCACTACCGTTTCCCCAGAAACCTTCCAGAACATCAGCCCCTCCTAATGTTAATGACAAAGCGCCAGGCAACTTCTTATATGACTTCCTGTATGATCTTAACTTGGCTTCGGTGTGGGATGAACATGTTCCCCTTTCTCTGGAGGAGAAAAAAAGCGTATTTAACGCCTTTAAAAATGCATAGCTGCTTCTATGATGAAAATAAGTTCATGGCAGGTAACTAGAATTTATAGAAGGGAGAAAAATTCTTTAAAGCTTGTCTCCCTGTGGTGTGGGTTTTTTTTCTTCACTTCTAATAGCTTTTATTTTAATTTCTAGTTCTGAATTCAAGCAGCTGTCACTCTCTTTATAGCCCTCTTTGAAACTCTTACAGCGTAGGAGGTAGCCAGGCTGTCTAAGAAACATCTTTTCAAACCAACCGAAGTATTGTTTATCCTGAATGAAATAGAATTTTTAAGGCTGTCAGGAGTGACTGATTTGAACGTTTTCTTGGGTAGCTGGGAAGATGAGCAGAAATCTTGCAGGAGAAGGTGTTATCTCAGCGTGGCCAATTCCAAGTGACTTCTATCACTCAGAAAATTCCTATGGACCGTGATGCAAATTACCAGGAAATAAGGGTGCTGTTGGCAATTAATATAACAAAACAAATTTGTGGCCAGTTAATTTTTACCCACTGAATCCTTACCAGCTATGGAAGAAAAAGAACAGATGTGAGATTGAGCGACTGTGGAGGATACTCTTGTTAACTACTTGTGTCTGGGTTGCCTTTGATGAGCTCTGGGTAGCAACTTTGCAGTGTGGCTCTGGGTGCTCATTCTGCTTTGAAGGGCACCCCGTGTGCCTTCTGGGCCATATTTGGGAGTCCAGCGTCACCCTTGGAGGCAAAAAAATCTTCCAGCCTATTAAAATGAATTATTGGGCTTCAGTTTTGCATGTACTAATATTCTTTAAAATCAGCAGCATGATTTTTTGAGCTTGAAATGTAGTTATGGTCATGATTTAATTTTTCTCTTTAGGTAAGACTAGAACTAATGATTCCTTAACTCTCTGACTATTGATTATCGTCGTTATTTTAGAGATATACTCTTTTTCTTAAATTTTTAAGTAAATGTAAAAAGAGGTCACAAAATTTGGAGGGTAATAATAGTGAAATTACATACCGCATATTACAGGCCAGGTATTGTTTTCAGCAATATGTGTTAAAGTTAGGTAATCAGAACAATTCCATAGGCATATTATTAACCCTATTTTATAGGTCAGGCAACCGAGGCACAGAGAGGGTCAGCGACTCACCCAGTCTCACAGCTGGTTAGTGACAAGGCCGGGCTTGGATCCCAGCAGTCTGGTCCCGAGTCTGGGTGCCTGACCACCCTCATGAGGCTGGATGCAAGTGCCGCAGTGAAGTCAGAGGGATTCTGTGCATTTCAATCAATGTATTGATGTATTATTTTAAAAAATTTTAAGAATGATTCTGTCTTTTCATTAAAAAATTTTGTGTGTGTCCTGGCCGGGTCGCTCAGTTGGTTAGGGCATTGTCCCGCTACACCAAGGTTGCGGTTTCAGTCCCGGATCAGGGCACATACAAGAATCAACCAACGAATGCTTGAATAAGCGGTACAGCAAATCGATGTCTGCCTGTCTGTCAGTCTCTCTCCCCCCCCTTCAAATGAATAAATCAAGTTATAAAACAGAGTTTTCTGTGTAATCTCACTTCTAAAGGAAAATGTCAATAGATGTGTAAGCTTACAAATAAATTTGGAAGAATACTAATCAGTCATGACAATAGTTTTCCTTAGGGGTTGGGATTGTGATGATTTTCTTCTTCTACATATCTCTTTCTCCTACAGAGTATTCCTTGTTATACATACATGTGCATATACATGCAGATAAAGGCATACACACACACATATATATAGGATTTAAGTTATGAAATTTCAGCTTAATGCTGATGCAAGCTGTGCTCGGTGCTTGGTGTGTGGAGTGTAGCTTTCAGATTTTGAAGGAGGAAGAATGAAGCAGAGCTCTGGTAAAAGGATATGGACCCCCCTGAAGCATGAGTTGACCTGGGGAGACTTGATTGGCACCACATTGAGAATGGGTAGCACTTGCTGCTTGGTGGTTTCCTGTTAGATTTGATAATATCTTTCACTTTCTGCCTGGGCTGCTTTCTCAGAATCATATTGTCCTAGCATTTTGGGGACCTTTATCACTGGAAATACTTAAGCAGCAAAGAATTTTATTGAATGGTCAATTGTGGTTAAATTTGGATTCAAACTAACCTGGATTTAAATCTTTGTCACTTCTTGCTATCTTTTATGATCTTGGCTAATTCTCCTTTAAGCCTCATGCATTTGGGGCAAGAAAATTTTATGTGGTTTTTGCTGAGAACAAATGAGTTAATGGCTGTACACCACCCAATAGGTAGTAAATACTCCAGAATTTTCGCTTATATTTTCTTGAAGGCTTGATATATGAAGTAGAGGGCTTAACATTATAGAAAGTGAGACTTAGTCTTTTATTTTTGATTATTTCTGTCCTGCATAATAAATAGTCTTATTGGTTGCTGGCGTCTTAATCTGGGGATTGATAGTAATTAACATTCTCTGTGTGCGTAGACTGGTGGGGGAAGAGGAAGTGTAGAGAGCGCGGAGTCCAACAGCCCTCGTTGTCTCTCCTGGGCTGGGGTTTGTGTTCCGAGCACCCTGCCCTAAATTTCCTGAGCTGTCACGGTGTCAGCCTTCCTCAGAAGTTTATGGAAGACAGTATCTGATTACTTTTTGGTTCCTAAGCATAATAGTATATGGTGGTTATATTTTTTGTTTGTTTATGTAGGCAGAAATCTCAGTCTGTAAATAATGCCTCAGGTCTGTGATTATGATATAAAAATGCGCTCTGCTTTATAGAGTAGAGCAATTTGCTTTGACTTCTATTGACATTGCAACTGAACTGGTCTTATTCATTTTATAATTGAATTGCTACTGACTTCCATTGACCTTTGCAAGTTGGAGAGGTGGTTCCTGGCATTGTAACCTAATGCCTATTAGCTGCTGCTCTGACGTTCTAACGGAGCCTGTGTTTTATGTCATAAGATTATAACACAGCTGAATCCCTCATCAGCTTTTCTTAGCATACTCTTTTGACAATCCTAGCTGTCTGGTAGCTTTTTTGGGCAAGCGTTATGCTTAAGTTTTTAAATCTTTGGACAACAGAAAATAAAATCTGCTGTATAATTTTATGGCATTTCACTGCACCTTTTCTTGCCCTAATGCGGCATTTTAATTTATGGTTCAGGTGTTGCCTTTTCTCTTATTTGGGTTTTTGTTTTTTTTTTTTTGGTGGGGGGATGCATATCTGCGTGTAGTTCTGTTTTTGTGCTCTTGCTATTGGGGGTGGGAGACCATTCCTCTGAGAGTCCTGTTTCCCTTTCATACTCACGATTTCAGCTGGAGGCCTTGTATTACCTGGCTGAATTATTCTCATCTAGCAACTGACTGCCATAGATCTGCATATCGCTTAGCTTCCTTATGGTCAGTCTTGTTTGATGAGTGCACGATGGAATGAGAGGAACTGGGACATCTTGCCCTCTGCCCAGCATGGCGTTGATTTCACTTGCAGTGGAACTGAGAATTGGGGTAAGTGGGACTTTAGAAGCCTTTCCTTCTGCTCGGCAATTAGAACTTGTCTCCCAGTGCACCTCCCACTGCTGAGAAACACAATTAGCTTTCTTTCCTTAATGGGCAGTTGGCAGGGTTAATTTCTTACCCCCACCTCCTTTCCCCTAGTGTAAAACTTAGGGAAGGTTTTCTGATCAAAGAGTCTAGACTGTTTTTCTCTTTTTTTAATAGTAATTATTTACCACTTACTTTAAGGACAGTAAAGAATTCTCTTTGAGTGGTAGGCTGGGGTTTGCTTTTTAAAGAAAGATACAAGCAATTACATTAGCAATTCTAAAAGTTCAATTTTCAAGTCAAACTTTGAGTTCCCTAACCTATCTTCATTATTCTGCTTAGTT